TTTCCTAGACACATGCAATGAACTTTTAGGAGGAGAATAACAAGACTTGGCCGGGTTTGTATGGGGATCCTTTCCACACCTGTGAGGTTGTGCATGTACACACACACCATCAGCAAAAAGCTCATTACATACTGCACTCGAGATGTTACCAGCACACTGAAAGACCCCTTGATGTGAACACTGAGCTGGCCCTGGGCTGCTGCTTCTAGGATCATTAGTCTCCGCTGGCTCTTACTGAATCTAGGTTAGTCTGGTAAAATTGGGCATGGTGGGAAGGCGGAAGCAAAGAACAGATGGAGTGAAAGGATGAGAGGAATTTAGGATTCAGTTTTCTCCTACTTTGAGTTACCTTACTATGTTGAAAATTAAGTCTACTAAAAATTGAAGGCCTTTGGAAAGAGAACGGAACCACTGAAAAGTTAAGATGTATTAAAAATCTCCCCCTTTCCTCCTCTGTTGTTAAAAGAAATTTCAGCAGTTCTGCCTTGGCCATCAAAATGTCCTGATTTTTTCTGCTTCTTGGGCTTTTTTCAGACTGGATGAGGCAGAGAAGAGAGTGGGAGGGAAGGAGAGGGGGGCTGGGAGCAGAAGTTTAACAAAGGATCACTTTAACAGAAACTACTGAGTAATCGCGCCGCCCTGGGCCAAGAATAACATGAGCTCAATGTCGGCAATTAGAAGCAGGTCAGTCGGGCCTCACAGCCGGTGCAGCACTCCTCACAGACCCCAGCATGGAGGGCTACTCATGCTGATGTCACCAGCAGGCACGGCTGCCCAAGAAAGTCCCCCGACTCAGCTGAAAGGAAAGTTTTTTATCCTTCTCCTTCAGAGGCAGGAAGCCAGGGTGAGAAGGAAGTGGGAAGCAATGAGGGAAACTGGAGAGGAAACGTACAGCGGGATGTGTCAACACATAACACATTCATTTTACCATCCCTAGACTATCAAGATTCGGTAATTTCCTCAACCATTCTGAAACTCATTTTAAATGAATTAATACATGTAAAGCACCTGGAATAGTGCTTGAACCACAGTAAGTGCCTATTAAGTGTTGGCTATTATTATTAAAACAAAAAGGGAGGAATCTGTCCCCTCACTTATCTCTTGTCCACCATAAAGCCTGAGTCCTGGAAGCAGTGATTGCTGAGCAGAATGTACCCTGATGAGAAAAATGAGCAAGGAGGTTTTTAAGTTTGGAAAACTTATTTACAAGGAGATTGTGGTAGATGGAGTGAAAAGGATGGAAACAAAGTTCCCATAAAAAAATGACTGCCCGAAATTTTATAAGGGCAACACTAAGTTTTAACATATCCAGTCTCCCTTCCAAAGGACAGAAAACAAATAATGAAGAGGAGACACTTCTAATCTCTTTCCCTACGGCTCAATAGTTCTCAAAGTGTGGTCCCCAGAAGAGCAGTAGTAGCATTGCCTGGGACTTGCTGGAAATACCTGAGCCCCATTCCCAAACCTACTGAACCAGACGAGGAGGGGAAACAATCGGTGTTTTAACAGGCCCTCCAAGTGGTTCTGTTGCTCAAAACCAGGGGTCCAGCCTGCCGCCTGTTTTTGTAAATACAGTTTCATTGGGAAACAGCTATTCATTTACATATTGCCTATCGCTGTTTTCATTCTTCCACGGCAGAGTCGAGTAGTTGCTACATGGATCCTACTGAAACGCCCAAAATACTTACTGTCTGGCCATTTACAGAAAAAGTTTGCGGACCCCTGCTCTGACTTAGAACAATGTTTTTTTAAACTGCTGGTTTTATCCATCAGTGTGTAAAAGCTCATAGTTTCAATTTTGTCTTATTTTATCCCGCTCTCTATCAAAGGGACAGGATCACACCTATCCCCTCGTAGCCCTATCCCTGGAAACCTCTGCCAGTGGCTCTGAGTGACTTTCCTCTCCCACAACCAGGTCACAGGGCCAGTCTTTCATACGGGTGGATTCAGTGCAGGACAGTTTCTGGATTTATGAGCGCAATGCTAGACAGCAATGAAGGTCAAAGCTTACTCTGCATGAATGGTCGGAGATGCTCACTTCCAAACTCATATCCTGAATCAGAGCTCACCTTCTTAAAGTTAATACCTTCAATAAGCTGGCTATCTAAGTGCAGAAAAGGATGGACAACTTCCTCCACATGTAATGCAAGAAAGGCTGCATGATCTTTCCCAAAACATTTTTAGGAGATCACAATGAAAGGTACGGTCCACGTACATAATTATGATAATATAATGTAATATAATATAGTATAGTATAATATAATATAACATATAAAATATAAAGCCCCCTTTAATGTCCTGTTCCATAAACAAGTATCTCTTGTGGATGAATGCTAAGTAAATTAGATTTCAATTGCATCCACTGCTCTCAAACAGGCAATTAACCAAATTGTTAGCTACATCAATGGCTGCCTACACTTTAGAAAAATGAATCCCAAACATCAGGAGTTCATCAGAGAAACCAGCTCTATCTAAAGGGTTTACCTAAGGACAGAAATACAGAGCATACTGAGAACGCAAAACACGCTTCGACCAACAATTTGGTGATAATTACAACAGTCAAGTCTAGCACAGCCATAAGCTAGGCTAGAAACAGAGGCTTAAAATCCAGTAGGGCTTTGCTCCTTCTGTGGAGTGATTCTTAGCGTCCTCTGAAATGAAGTGCTCTAAGTTACTAAATATTTGTCATGTTAGAACATTTAATATATTATTTGCTATTTTATTAGTTATAAACTCTTCAAGCTAATAAAATGTAGTTTCATTAGCTCTCCCCTACACCCTTCCTCATTTTTACCTAAATCAACTGTGGATCAGAAGAACAGGGAGAAGAAATAAAAATGATGTTATAAACATATATAAAATTATGATGGATGATTTTCTGTTCCTTCTCCAGGAGACACGAGATAACTCCCTTCTTGGGAGTTCTGACTCCTCTCTAAGACAGATATTCTGACAGATCCTAAAAAACATCTTTTCCATATACTTCATAGTTCAGCGAAACTAAACTAGTGAAATCTTCAGTGAAAAAAAAAATTCACACAAGAATAGCGGTACTCTGCATTTTCAAAGGAATGTGAGTTCTGGAAGCTAATCAAAAGAATGAGAAGGATTTATAAATGAAGCAGTTTCTAAAAGTGAAAATCAGCAAAACTGTCTTTCCTTCCTCAAAACTTCCATGCCCTGCAATCATCTCCTTTTTTTAAAAAATCATCTACCCTTTCAAGGTATGAAAGCATTAAAAGGGCGCAGCTGTCTAGGTTTGTTAGAGCCATTGATTACACTCGCATAAGGGAAATAAGGCTACATATGATACCTCTATTCTCCAGCATCTGATTACATTGGCATTCTCAAGTACTCTGAATGAAGCTTAAAAATTGTTAAGAAATTTACACAGATTAAAACAAACCCTAAGATACACATTTATATTTGCAATTGTGAAAATGCAAATTGGCTTAAATGCCTTCACTATCTCAAGAATAAATGAGGAAATTTCTATGTGACAAAGGGCAGTGTGGTGATCAAAATGAGATGCTACATGCCATGCTTTACACATAACGAGTCTGGATTTTTCTCTAGTAAAAACAACCTAGAGAACTACTTCACAAAACCTGCACTTATAATTTCTCAATTACAATAAATTAGCATAATATACAGAGTACAATATCACAGATGAAGATGATCAAATGATGTATGATACTGAAATAACAAAATATGTTTGGAGTTGAATGGTAGTTGAAAAGACAAAGATAGAGAGGATGATAATTGTTGTATCTAGAGAAAAGAACACTTTGGGAAATGCTGTCTTAGCCTTTGAGTGAATATTAATTTTGCAAAAATTAATGCACACTATGTACTATATGTATTTTTTTTAGATTGGCACCAGAGCTAACATCTATTGCCAATCTTTTTTTCTTCTTCTTCTTCTCCCCAAAGCCAACCAGTACATAGTTGTATATTCTAGTTGTAGGTCCTTCTAGTTGTGGCATGTGGGACGCCACCTCAGTATGGCTCCATGAGCAGTGCTAGGTCCGTGCCCAGGATCCTAACTGGTGAAACCCTGGGCCGCTGAAGTGGAGTGCGCAAACTTAACCACTCGGCCATGGGCCTGGCCTCGTACTACATTTTTTATAAGAAAGAGCAAATGATGAGAAATCAAGCTGACAGACGTTTCTTCACAGAATGAAATATCAGGGAAGCTCATACTGATTGGGCCAACAGAACATGGAGAACATGGTAACCGATTCTAGTGATAACTCTGAAATCATGGAGAAAAATGTAACTCTCTATGGTCTGACTGTTGCGAAATCATCCTTCTTCTGTAATTGGGGCATGCTGATACACTAGGGCAATTCACTTATCTAGCTCCCTCATGCACATGCTCAGGAGTTTCTGTCATTTTATGGACAGTGAGTATTTCACTAGAGTGTAAGTTCCACAGCAGCAAGAATTCTTGTGTATGCTGTTACATTTTTGTGTACACTGTTTTGTGAACCAACTGTCAAACCAGAACACCAACAACCTAACTTATGACCATTTCTTACAAGAAGAACTTGAAAGTTATTTATTCTTTGAAAACCTTGATAGATCATGAAGGATTAATATGTGCTTATGTATACAAAGTCTCTGAAGATAAGGAAGTCGTACATTTACAAAAAAAAATCATTAAAATGCTAGGTAATTTTAGGTATCTGAGAAGTAGACCCTTCGGGAGGTTACTGAACCACGATCACGCAACGGAAAGGGTAAATACAACTAGAGAGACTTTTGAGCAGGAACATTCAAATGAAAGAAAGAATATCAAAACTGGTTCAGCATCACTTTCCAGCAAAGCCGACGTTACGGCTTCAAAACGTCTTCCCTGAGAGTACATTCCCCATGCCCCATCCAAGCCGAGGTGGCCCTGGGAAACTATTCCTATGCTTCCCACTGGTCTTATTAATTATTATTTTTTCCAACAGAAGGAAGATATTAGCACATGGAAAAGCCTTATCTTGAATTACCTGGTGCCTGGCTCGACTCTGGTCCAGAAGCTGCCGGGACTGAAGTTTTTGTTGTTCAAGCTGCTGCAGGGCAAAATGGAGCTGGTAGCTGCCTGCTGTGGGGTGATACTTGTGCTGGGGGACCACCCCTGTAGCCTTGCTATACGCGTTGTTCTCTACCTCTCCCTCCCAGGCAAAGCCACCTGTTTGGAGGCTCCTGAAGAGAAAAGAAAGCAGACTTCTTAGAGTGGTTGTGTGAACAATCTAAAGGAAAGGAGAGAAATATCTCAGGCATTTTTCCTTTATTTATTTATTTTTTTGGAAGATTAGCCCTGAGCTAACTGCTGCCAATCCTCCTCTTTTTGCTGAGGAAGATTGGCCCTGAGCTAACATCCGTGCCCATCTTCCTCTACTTTATATGTGGAATGCCTATCACAGCATGGCGTGCCAAGAGGTGCCACGTCCGCACGCGGGATCCGAACCAGTGAACCCCGGGCCGCCGAGAAGCGGAACATGCGAACTTAACCGCTGCGCCACCGGGCCGGCCCCCAGGCATTTTTCCTTTATAGAACTAAACACAGTTTGGAATTACCAATCTATTTGTGTTATAAATTATCTGACGTGCCCACTAAGCTCCATGAAGACAAAAACAGGGTCTGCTCTGCTCTCCATTCTATTCATAGCGCTTATCATAAGGCCTGGCACATGGTCAGTGCATAATAAATGTCTGTTGAATGCTAATAATTAAAATAGCAAGTTCACTCTCCTGCAAATGCTATGAGGACTTCCAAGAGGAGCCTTAGAGCTTCACATGCAGGATGGTAGGTTAAATTTAAGGTAGGAACAGAGGCACAAGCATCTTCTCTAACACCAACTTCAAAAGCATAAGGGTGAATTACACAGAATTCTTGGTTTTTCTTAACCATCCATTAGTGAAACATCTAAATCTTTTTAAGAAGTGTTTATATTTGAGCTTACATCCCATCACTGGATAACAAAACTAGTCCAAGAAGATACCTTTTTCATTATTCTAAATTTACCTCAACAGGGTCCCCAGCCAAGCTGACATTTAGCCTGCACACATGAGGAAGATGAAAGGCCAGTGGCCTTCAGGACTGTTCAGCACCCATACTATGCTATTTGTTAAACACTTTGACTATCTTCCTTGCCCAAATTCTGAAATTTTAGATTCTGGTGACCATGTCTGTGTACGTCCAAGTAGAAGTCTTCACAACTATAGGCTCCTACATTTCCCCTCTCAGTCCATTTCTTCCAGGTAGAAAAGTCCCAGTTTATACCACTTCATACCCATTAGGACGGCTATTATTAAAAACAAAATAAAATAAACAAAAACTAACAAGTGAGGCAAGCATTGGAGAAACCGTAACTCTCAGGCACTGCTGGTGGGAATGTGAAATGGCGTGGTTGCTGTAGAAAAGACTGGTGGTTCCTCCAAAAGCTAAACACAGAATTATCACATAATCCAGCAATTCTAATCCTAGGTCTACACCCCAAAGAACTGAAAGCAGGGACTCAGATACTTGCACACCAGTGTTCATAGCAGCATTATTTACAATAGCCAAAAGGTGAAAACATCAAAAGATGAATGGATAAACAAAATATGATATGTACATATAATGGAATATTATTCATTCTTAAAAAAGGAAGGAAATTCTGACATGTTACAATAGGGATGAACCTAGAGGACATTATGCTAAATGAAATTAGCCAGTAACAAAGGAACAAGTATGGTATGACTTTACTTATATGAGGTACCTACAAGAGTCAAATTTACAGACACAGAAAGTAAAATGGTGGCTGCCTGGGGCTGGGGAAACAGGCGAATGGGCAGTCATTGTTTAATGGGTACTGAGTTTTAGTGAGGGATGATGAAAAAGTTCTGGAGACGGATGGTAGTGATGGCTGTGAATGTACTACATGACATTGAATCGTACACTTAAAAATGCTAAATTTTAGGTTATATATGTTTTACCACAATTTTTTTTACAAGTTTCCCATTTATTTTTAGAAGTCTTATTTGGCAGTCCTTTCATCTCCTTAACACTTTTGGTTATTCTCTAACCCTCTTTAACTATTCTATATTATTTTTTTTCCTTTTTGAGGTATAGCGACCAGAAAATTGTATGCAGAAGAAACAAGAATAATCTCACAGTGAACAACCTCACTCCAAACTCTGGTTAATGGGGCATAGAGAGAGGAAACAGTGCCTAATTTAAGAGAAAGATTCATAGTGATTTAAATCATCATGCTATTCTTTCCTTTGTAAATTTCCTTTGGCATTAATGGCCATTTCAAGAGCAGAGATGCTGTAACACTGGAGCGAGGTTACACAGATCTTCCTGAGTCCTGACCTACAGGCCACCTGGTTATTTATAGCCTGGGCCCCGGTGACCCCACAGAGCCCTCTGGGAGAGAGCAAAGCGGAACGTGTGCTGCGTCCAGAAGTCCACGTTCTCTCTTGCCTGTGACCTCCCTCAGAGATTGGTCATTTCAGGTCTCTGCTTCGATTTCTCTGCCTCTCTCAAAGAGATTTCCAAATACCTAGTTAAGAGAAAGTCTGTGTAACGTATTCTGAAGCCCGTGGATGAAGGGTTTTCTACTCACATAATCTCACCTCTGATACGTCACATCCCTTGCTCGTCTCCTTCCAGTTTGGCTCCCACAGTTCAGTTGCACAATTACACACTTTCAGCTAATCTTCTTGGCGAATAGTACCAAAAAGCTTAGAGCTTATTTACTAATTTTTTTGAGTATGACATTTGATCCTCAGTGATCTCTCTTGAAATGCCTCAATGTGCATACTGTTATACAGTTAAAAAGACATGATCTTTCCCAAGGGGCTTCCAGTGGTATGAAGAAAGGTGGTGGCCAATGACTGAATATAAATAAGACCTAAATACACGAATAAAATGTTAACATTATTCACAAAGTGAAGTGTTGAGTGGGAGTCAAAAAGGAGTTACCGGGTTGGAAAGGAAGGGCCAGAGGAACCTGTTATCTCTTTTCTCATTAGCAAGGGAAGAGAAACGCTAAATGTAGATAACAGGCAAGAAACGACTGAACAGCTAGGGGGACTGAGTGAGCGCTTAGTGGAAGAAGGGGCAACGGAGAAAGGCACCCAGGTATAAATGAAGAGAAAGTTCAAGGCAGGAGTGGGTCAATCTGATGAACAAATGAACAGGAGGGAAGAGGCAGTTGAAACAGCAGGAACTGCTTACAACAGCTGAATAACCTTGAGATTTCCATACCAATTAGGGCAGGTATTTAAATCTAGAATGAAATTATTATTTACGATAACTGCACCAAAGGCCAGAAAATTCACCAATTTTGATTCTACTTCCATTCGCAGCTTGCTGGTTATACAAGTTTCTAGCCACAAGTAGCAATCTAGACTTAGGGATTAGATATTGAAGGATTTTTCTAACTACGGAGTTTATATCAGAATTCATCTCATGGGCTAGCTAGATTGGTTTTACTTTCTAAGAGCTGCTTTAATAACAAATATTCCTAGGGGGCATTTACTTTAATGCCTTCTTGTTGTATATCAGAAATCAGAGCTAACTAGGCCCCCTTATTTGGAGATGACCAGGGAAAGATTCTCAGGTGTGCATACATGAAGCAGGGCACTGCGGGTGTAAGGGGTAGGACAGTGGGCAAGAGCAGATCAAATAAGGGACTTTGGATAAGAGGAGGTTTATTCATCCAACTGCACACATATTGAACAGACTGCAGCATCATAAACTTTTATAGCAAAAGCTGTTTTTAATCTCATCAGTAACATAAGCCCAGTCTCCAAATCACAAAAGGAAGTTTCTCAAGCAAGTAGAGGCTTTTAGCGAAGAGGCAGGAATTTTTACGGTGCAACGCTGGGCGAGGGCAGGAGGGCTCAGCTTTGTAAGGCCATGTGGCAAGTGCCATGAGAAACTTGCTGGCTTTGAATTACAGCGGGTGTGAGGCCATGGTATCTCGCAATTAAAGCACAGCATTTGGGGTTTGTAAACGCGAGTGCTATAGCGACTGACACAGAAGAGGCCCGGTGCACTCTCACTTGGCCTTGCCTGAGATTGCACATCTACACAGTCCTTTCTATGGCGTCTGATAGCTTCCCTTTCCATCCAAAATTCCATCCCATTTTCTTAAAAATCAATTCATTCTAGTTGACTAGTAATAAATTTTCCACTCCCACCATATGTTGAGATTCAATTATTCTCTCTAAAATTTAGTTTTTATATTATTCTTTGCTCAATAGTAAAATATAATATTATACATATTCCCTGTAAATAACTTCTAATAATTTTATATTATTTCTAGAACAGAGTATATAGAGCCAAGAGAGTGAGCTGTGGAAATGCTCAGAATGTTTAACATTTGATTGATATTCAAAGATTCAAAGTGAACTATGCTATGATTCGCCCTTACTACATTTGTAGCTAATAGACGACAACATAGCAAATTTTTCTGAATGCCACATTCGCTTATTGGCCTATTCATTTAGAACTTCATCTTACTTTCTATTCACACTGTAGCCCTGCAGGACTAAACGTTTCTCGCCATAACTGCCCTGCCTGCAGTATACTCCCTAACCTCCAGTCACACGAAAGTGCTATAACTTTCCCCTTTGGTTTAAGATCTGTTCCATCAAATGGATGTGGGTTCTAAGGAACTTGGAGGCAATCTGCAAAATGCACTGGTCTTGAGCAAAGCAAAATCTGACCAGACAATTGCACTCTTCGTAACAATAAGCTTTCAGTGTCAAGATTTCCCAAGAATCACAAGAGTGTAGGGGAGGGATGAGGCAGAGGAATGTGACAGTCTACACAGAGCGTGATTCCGCAGTTCATTTCCCCAGCCTCCTCCATCCAATCCCAGCAAAACCTCAGCAACCATGTATAGGGATGCCCCGTCCCTCTTGAGGGTTGGCAAGTGCGTAGGTGTACTTTCCATTGTCATAATAATGGGGGTGGGGGATTACTGACATTTAATAGCTAGTGGTCAAGGGTGCTAAATGTCCGGAAATGCAAGGAACAGCCCTGTGCTAGGAAAAATATGTGCTGCTCAAAATGCCAATGGTGCTTCTAAGGAGAAATACTATAACAAGGCCATGAATGAAGTGCTTTCTGGGGGAGGATCTTACTATTTCTTTACAAGGAAGAATATCCACCCACTTCCATGGCACTTCATGGAATGTACAGATAT